AAGAGCTCTCTCTATCAACACCTCTACTTCTGTTGTTGGTGGAAGTCTTTGGGCAGTTAGGTTCTAAAGGTAAAAATCTGTCAGCACCAACGTATGCAGAGCAAATGGAATCTAGAAGTGCTGTCCATGTTGGGCTCAAGCTATCACCCTGTGTCACCAGACACTAGATTTAAGAACAGGCCACTTAGTGCCTTCGAGCCCCTCTTTCCTCAGCTGTAAACAGGGAATAAATCACCAAGCTGAGCTGCTGGGAGAACCAAGTAAAACCAAGTGCGGAAAGCACACTTACATGAATATTATTTACTTGTGTTATTTTAGGAAGAAAATGGAAAATAATTGAAATACTCATTTAAAAGGGAATGGTATATCCGCTGTATGTAACTACTCGTATTTTGGCATTAAATGGTTTGCAGTAATCGAGATGAAAACAGTAACAAAATGGGGAAATGACTGGCACACTGACTGAAGAATATCAGTGTTATGTTTTTCTACTATGATTTTATAAACAATATGTATGCATATGAAAAAGAACTAGAAAGGGGGTCAAATAAACATAATTTGGGTTTTTTTTAAAGCTTTTATTTATTTATTTGAGAGAGAGATAATGAGAGACAGAGAGCACGAGGGAAGAGGGTCAGAGGGAGAAGCAGACCCCCTGCTGAGCAGGGAGCCCGATGCGGGACTCGATCCCAGGACTCCTGGATCATGACCTGAGCCGAAGGCAGTCGCTCAACCAACTGAGCCACCCAGGTGCCCACATAATTTGGTTTTTTGGGAGGAGGCAGAGTTGGGTGAATTTTTTTCCTTCTAGCTTCATTTCTGTTATTATTGTCTGTGTTTGAAATTATATTTTAAAAAGTTCCTCCTTAAAATGACAGAAAGCAATTAAGTTCTGTCCCTCCTTTCTCATAGGCGGCCTTCTCCGAGAGACCAGCAGCCACGGGATCCTTGGCCCTTTGTCTGAGTCCTGTGGAATTCTGTTAAGTCTTCATGGAGTCCTGGGTCCAGGGAAGAGGTCTGAATGTGGAATTGCCCAAGTGTTGAAATGGGTTAAGACATACCACATCTTAGATAGAGGTGGAAGCATGGAGGCAGGGCACACGTGGGCAAGTTGGCACAGTTGGCCATTTTTGCCCTGCCTGCCATCTTTTTTGCCCATCTTCTCCTATCTGTGCCCATTCTTCCTCTGGGAGACCTCCTCCTTCTCATCTCAGTCAATGTGTCCCAGGTGGAGATGCACTGGAGCAGGGCTTTCGAGGTTTATAAGTCAATTAGCACATCTGTCAAGAACCATAAAGGCTCTGAGATTTTATCCTACTTGCAAGAAAGCAAATTAGCTTGCTACTATTTCATGGATGCTTACAGAGAACATAAGACTCTTTGACAGACAGACAGACACACACACACACACACACACACACACAACATCTACTACTCAGAGCAAAAATAGTAGCTGAAGTGTCAGCATATTTGTTTTGGTCTCCAAGCTCTAATTCCACAGGGTGGCAAAGAAGGAGAGATGACATTGGCACAAATAGTGGGTTGTGTTACAGCAGAGAAACTCAGAGCCCAGAGCCCAGTACATTCTGAGCCAGCAGAGAACACTGTTGCCAACAAGTCAGTCTTTCCTCCTTACTCCCCCCAAGCAAACGATAGTCAGACTATAGGTCCTTGACCTACTCGGTTGCCCACGTGACTAGCTCCAGAGCTGCTCAGGTTGGGCACACCCAGCAGGGACATAACAGATGCTCTCAGGGCCAGGTGTCCCCCAACAGTATTAAATTTGGTTGGCCACATACAGACGTGCGTGTGGGCCAACCAGAACTACTGAGACAAAACAAAACCTTTGAAGCTTTTGCTCCAGATGACAGGCAACTTACTTCCCATCCCACTTCCACCTCAGATAAGAATTTAGAAGAGCCATCTTGTGACTAATAGGGAAAAGTCTGTGTGAGAGTAGAGTCTACTCAGAGAAAGCAAAGTTGAGAAATGGAGAGATCAGGAAAATTGATCCTGATATTATTTGAACCAGTGTATAAAGCCAGGATTAAAACCAAGCCATGTACCTACAGAATGGCCACTTATGGAAGGCAATGTAGGTATGGTTTTCTGTCACTTGCCTATAGAGTTCTGGACACAGATATCAATATAAACCTGTATTAGTCAGGTTCTCCAGAGAAACAGAACCAATAGCATAGCTAGAAGATAGCTGGATAGCTAGATGGAGAGAGAGGGGGAGGAGAGAGAGAGAGACAGAAAGAGATTTATTGTAAGGAATTGACTCATGGGATTATGGAGGCTGGCAAGTCCCAAGATTTGTAGTTGGCAAGGTGGAGATACAGCAGAGCTGATAATACAGTTCTAGTCCAAGTCTGAAGGTCTGAAGGCTGGGAAAACCCATGTCCCTGTTCAGGACCACCAGGCAGGAGGAATATTCTCGTCCTTACAAGAGAGTCAACGTTTTTGTCTTCTTCAGGCCTTCAACTGATTAGGTGAGACCCACCCACATCGCAGAGAACCATCAGCTTTACTCAGTCTCCCAATTCAAATATTCATCTCCTCTAGAAACACCTGCACAGACATACTCAGAATAATGTTTAGCCAAATGTCCAGGCACCTTGTGGCCTAGCCAAGTTGACACATAAAATTTAACCATCACAATACTTGTACTATTAAATTACACTCATGAACTGTTATGAATGTGCTTAAATCTTTTTTCTTTGGTGAATGTTGAGATCCACCCTGGTCAGGATTGTGGTCACTCGAAGTGAGATTGATCTTGTACAAATAAAACAGATGTTCAGTCAGATGTATCAGAAGACCCTGGGCACAATGATCGCAAGTGACACAAGTGGAGATTACCGAAAGCTGCTTCTGGCCATCGTGGGCCAGTAGGAGGGATTTTTTAAATAAATGAAGCATATCCTTCAGTAAGTGACCTGCATGCAGCAATATCAACCACCACCTAAGCAAAAGAGCTTTTTACCAAGGACTGTGTCAGGGTATTGTGCTTGGTTTGCACATGTGGTTATTGCCTTAATTCCAATGTTACTTTTTCTCTATATACAATCGGAAAAAATGGGGCTCTTTCATGAATCATTTGTTGATTCATTTCATCCAAGATTTTGTTAGGGGTTTTAAGAGCTTAAAACTATGTTTTCATAGTTGTGTTGTTCCTTAGGCTAAATCGAATCTGCTGGGTAAAACCTTCCCCTCTATTATAAGTGTTATTCCCCCATACTCATCTCTCCTCTTCCTGAAATAAAAATGGGGGCAGGGGAGAAGGTGGGGGTAGATAATTTTTCAGGATAAAAATCTATTTGGCTTCCTCATGCTATTTTAAGTTCATGATCCTGTCCATTTGATATTCATTTTACATGCCTGGCTTTCATCACAATGATTACCTATCTAATTACATTTTAGCTGAAACAGCCAGATAGCCTTTCAGTGAGATTGAGGAAAACCTGAGCTTCCAGGCTTTTCTGAATCCTTCTATTTCTGTGTTATCTTTACAGGCAGCCTTTAATACAGAGACTACAATGGAGATAATTAACCTTCTAATGGTGCCAGGTACATTAAAAAATGGCTTGATTTTATTACTGTTCCACGCTAAGTCTTCATCCATGACTCATCCAAATATTTCCCCTGCTTTAGGCACTTCTTCTCATGGAGGTCCACAGTTCCTCTGCCAGGGGACCAGTCAGCCACGAAGGAAGGCATGTGAGTGAAACCTAATTCAAACTGGAGGGGGATGTCTTTTCATTTTTGTCCAGTGCTCTCCATCTTGACTGTAGAGTGGTAACTCCTGGCTTCTCCAGATTCTGAGGAATTCACCCCCGGCCTCTCAGCTCTCTTGGAGAACTGGGGGTAGCTTTTCCTCTCACTGGCTCCTCACCACAGTGAGAGACCCATAGGAATGGTGGGATAATGGCTCAGCCTCCTTTATCTGCCAGCACGCAGAGAAAGTCCCCTCCCCACCTCCTCCTTTCCCTCAGTCAGCTCAACAGAGGGCTTTCCCACCCTGCAAGGAAAGCCCTGAGTCCTCTGCTTTTCGACTTGTGACTGCTGAATTTGTCAGGGAGAATAGGAAGCTCAAGGTCAGCCTTTGGGTCAAGTCACATTCTTTACGCCACCAGCTGTACTCAAATACAGCTGCTATTGTATCACTTCTAAGCCTGGCTTCTTGAGTCTTTTTAAAATTTGTTCCAAAGCTGGAGGAGAGACTAGGTAATAGGTTCGATCACCTCCCGTCAAACCCCAGATCTACCCCAAGACAGTTGAGAGAACTGGCAGGGGGTTAAGTGGGTTACTGTAACAACATGATACCAAGTTCCCAAGAAAATATGTGCTTGGAAGACCAAAGCCATGTGGCATTTGGGAACCTGATTCTCTTCCATTCTTTTCCGCATCCCATCAAACATGTAAGGTAGTTTTGATGGACACCATAAATGCAGCATGTTAGTCACAAGATAGACTTCGGAATTTCCCTTTAGCTTCAGTTTCTGAGATGCAACTGTAAACGACTGAACAAAAGCCACAGTTCATGTCTACAAAGTAAACGACTTTCATTTGTCATTACTATCAAGCTTATGAATACAACAACCTCCATAAAAAAAAAAAGCTAAAAGTAATTTATCGAGAGATGTGAAAGAAGACCTGAATAAATGGAGAAGTAGAATGTTCCTGAAAAGGAATACTAAATTTTATAAACATGTTAATTATTCCCAAATTAACATACTGTTTTCAGTATGTTGCAATTCAAATCAAAATCTCAATGATTTTATGTCCCCTCCTCAATTTTTTCTTATGAAAACTTTTTAAACAAACATAAAAGTTGGAAAAAATAGTAGAAAGAACACCAATATATCCACCATTTAGATTTGATACTTGTTATATTTATCTATTCATGCATGTTTATATGTATGATTATACCTGTATATAAACATATATGCACACACTATATATACACATACCATATATATACACAATTATTTATACTGTGTTTTTTATTGTTGCTGAATCATATGAAACCAACTTGCAGATGTCATCACGCTTCACCCTAAATACTTTGATATCCATGTCCTCAAAATATATTTTCCAATATAGTCACAATAACGTGAGCATGACTGAGAAAATTAACGATGATTTCCTAGTGTCTGTTTCATTTTTAAATTTCTTCATTGTCCTGAGAATATGTCACTTATTGCTGCTTTATTCCCTTCAAATCAGAATCAAATGGCCGGTCACCAGTTACATTTGGTTATTATAGCTCTCTAGTCTCTCTCTCTAGCCTAAATCAAGAGTCGTCCCCTTAACAGACTGAGCCACCCAAGCATCCCCAGAATAAACATTTTTAACAAGAGCACTTCCCTAGGTCATGTGATGTGTTCCAAATTGCATCACGTGTGGAGGCATACAATTCAGGCTAGCGTATAATTTAGCGGATGGATAAATGGTGACCACCAAATCTTTCTATTTTAAAGGTGTGGGGAGTTTTTCCCCTTTACAATCAGCAAATACCCCGGAGAGAGAGGGAGCAAAATTATTTTCAAGTGTATTTGATAGAATCAGTAGATAAAGATATCAAAGAAAATTTAGAAAAGGAAGAGTAATTGAGAGTGACTATCAGATATTTAAATATATTTTAAACTTGGTGACAGTGGAGCAAAGCTTAGCACCCTAATGGGTTAAGTAGCCTAAGGCTGGTCAGTCCTGTGGCTGTAGTGAGATGCCCCCCACCTTGGGCTGCCATTTACCATTAACATAAGTCAGGTAACTGAAAAACCTGCCTTAGGAGCTCTTGGCTTTGGTCTCCTTTGCTAAGTCACATGAACACACACACACCAAACTGGCATGGGTTCTTCCAAAGAGAACTGTGAATAGATCGTACACAATGCGTTTGTTGACTCTCTATTCCATTGTTTGGGATCATATTAGAACAAAATCCTTTTCAACAGAAGCCTATTAAACCGGCATATAAGAAAAGGACAGACAATGCTGGCAGTTGAGAAAAACAAAACAAAACAATTCAGATAAACAAACAATGGGTCAGAATGTAATAGGGTTTTTCCCTACTCTCCTGGAAGGCAGTCGTCCTCCTCAGGAGCGTGTGTCCATACCAGCTTTGAAACTGGGAGAACAAAATACCCCGACGATGGCCTGAGCGAAGGCCAGGAGAGCATGAAGGAGAGGATACAGTGCAGTCCCAGGCAAACGGGGAGGGTGGATGAGAGCTGGACCCGAAGCCAGGGCAGGGCCGTGGGAAGAATGCCGCTGTGGGATGGCCTTCTGTTTCTGAGTCTGCATCTCTGTGCATCTTTCCCCATAGGCAGACCTAGTAGGAAAAAAAAACAAAAAAACAAAAAAAACTTACTACCTATACCCCTCCCACCCCAGCTCTGAAACCATCATGAGTCCTGGAAAAAGATAGATGGTGTTCCTAAAAAGGCCTTTGTTCTGCTCTGTTCCTCGATGGGTTTCTGGAAGCAGGCTGGAGAGCTGGGGGGGAAGGAAGCTAAACCACCTTGTCTGACAGAGTCACACAAATGATACGCAGGTGTGAAGTTGCGATAATCACTGTCGTTGGCGGTGGCTGTCTGGGACCCATAAGGAACCTGGGGCCTTAAACCAGCCTTTCTGGGTGAGATACCCTGTGAGGATTCTCAGCTGGGTTCCTCCTCCTCCTCCTCCTCCTCCTCGTGCTGGAGCTGCTCTCCTAGGACCAAGAGTTGATTCAACTGGATTTGACCTACTTGGTGGATTATTTTCTAGCCGAACCAAAAAGAGTGTCCTCTCACTACTGTTTGGGAATTTAGGAGAGAAGAGAGCACTTTGAGGACTATACTGCTGGCAATATAGTAATGCCCCATTGGTCAGCCGACGGTCTCACTTCCTCTTCCTCCCTCCGACGTCAGCACAGACAAGGCGGAAAGGAGAGTGTAGGCAGTTGCACAGACTCAAAACCATGGGCTCAATAAGCCGTTCTTAGGGAAAAAGCATAGTCCACACCTCTTAGAGAGGATAATCTAGTTCAGATACTAAAATTCCTCCGATAATGGCTCACCTCTCCCTTTGCATGTTTTTCTTGGAAGTCCCAAGCTCTGATCGGTCTCTTACCATTTTTGGTGAGGGCAGCATCAAGGTCCTACCTGAGAACAGGCATCCAAATTAGGTATGGTGCTCTTCACGTACATCAATTGATCAATGGGATTTTCATTTCCAGTAATTGCACGGTAACTTTTGAATGCTACTCTAAGGCTAAAGCAATTATGGAATATGATTATATCAGCCGAATGCCTTGCTTTTCATCATCCTGCAGTTAAATTTTTGCAGCATGCATTTTGAGCCCAGGGTACAAGCTAGCACAAAAACTTCCACTCTTATATAGTGTTTTTCCATAGTTAAAAAAAAAATTGCTTTAAGGTACACACATTCCTTTCATAGCCATAGGCATTGACATTTTTGATAACAAGACTGGGCTCAAAGCATAAAAATTTAAATTATAGAAATAGTTATGTTACTAACAGTAGCTAACAGTCCTTCGGAGTTTCCTACTCCTTAGGTACCTGGAATGGTATAAAGCATCTCATAGACAGTACGGTGTGGGCCCTGACCAGTCAGAACTATCACCGGTCTCACACCTGTAGTAGGATACCTGAGGCCGGTTGCCACCCTGGGCACTAACCCTTTAGTTGCTGGGTCATAGGGAAGTATGACGAATTTAGGGGGAGGAGCCTGGCAGGTGATGTGGGTGTTTTTTGGTGGGGAGGAGGTGGGGAATATGTCCAGGGCAGCCTGTATGGAAGTGTTGCGTATTTGAACAACAGGTCCATACAGGTGGGTCCATCTGCTGAATATCATTCGAAGCTGCCAGGCCCTGTGCTAGACCTCCTATTCCCAACACAACCCTGCAAGGAAGTTCCTGAATTTACCTTCATTTTACAGAGAAGGAAATGCAAGCTTACAAAATTTAAAGATCTTGCCCAAGGTTACACAGCCGGTACAAGGAAATAACAAGGATTTTGGGGGGAGCAGTTTTAGGTCTACAGAAAAACTGAGTAGAGAGCGGGGGAGTTCCCATATCCCCCCTCACCTGCACACCTGTTTCCCCTGTTATTAACATCTTGCATTAGTGCGTACATTTGTTATATTTCATAAGTTGATATTGCTATATTATTATTATTATTATTATTAACTAAAGGTCATCGTTTGCATTAGTGTTCACTCTTTGTGTTGTGGGTTCTATGGCTTTTGACAAATGGATAATGGCATGTGTCCAACATTACAGTATCACACAGAACAGTTTCACTGCCCTGAAAATCCTCTGTGCTCCTCTTTGTCACCTGGCCCTCCTCCCCCCTGGCAACCACCGATCTTTTTACTGTCTCCATAGTTTCACCTTTTCCAGAATGTCGTATAGCTGTAATTATACTGTCTACAGCCTTTTCAGACTGGCTTCTTTTGCTTAACAATATGCACTTAAGTTTTCTTCATGTCTTTCTGTAGCTTGATAGCTTATTTCTTGTTATCACTGAATAATATTCCATTGTCTGGATATACCACTGTTTGTTTAGCTATTCATCTTCTGAAGGACATCTTGGTTAACTCCAAGTTTTGGGAATTTTGAACAAAGCAGCTGTAAACATTCATGTGCAGGTTTTTGTGTGGACATAAATTTTCAACTCATTTCTGTAAATACTAAGTAGTACGATTACTGTATCATATGGTAAGAGTATGTTTAGCTTTATAAAACTGCCAAACTGCCTTCCAAAGTGGCCGTACCATTTTGCATTCACACCAGCCATGAATAAGAAAAAATGCATTTTTGAATCACTGTGTTGTATACCTGAAACTAATGTAACATTGTGTGTCAGCTATACTCAAAAGACTTAAAAAAAGAAATAACTAATTTTTATGTAGACTTTTATATTTACAAAGCACTTTTACCTGTATTAACTGTACCTGGGTCACAGACAGACAGATTACTTCAAAAGTAAAGTCCATCAGTATGTTCTAACAAACTGATGGATTTTTCTGTAGTTGGTACTGCCAAAGAAAGGCTGCTACTTATTCGGTGAGCTGCAATAGTTTCTTTACATGTTTATCTTATTTAACCTGCATAACAATCTTCAAAGGTGGCTAGCATCATTCCTATTTTACTGAAAAGGAAACTGAGACTCAGAAGTCAAATACATTGTTCAAGATAACAAAGGAATTCAAACTCAGGGCCACCTATCGCCATATCCGGGGTTCATTACACTCTACCATATTACATTCCCTCAATGCAAATTGTCAGGGAAAATTGTGAAAGACTTTGAAGGGGGAAAAAAAAGGTGAAGAGAAAGGATCCCCAAGTGTCCTGTCTAGTGTGCCCTTCTTAGTTATCTTCCCTTTCACTGCCTCAGAGCTATCGTATAGCTCTGCAAATTACACAAAGCTAATAATAATGCAAATGATTCTTGTCCATAGAGTTGCAAATTACTTGCCTTTCGTGGAGTGCAATTGATAATTGCCCTGTGGATAGACTGCTCTTTGTGTCTACTCGTAAATTCATTTCAGCATTCCCTCTCTGCCTGTATGTGTGTGTATTCACCTGAATTTTCCTTTGAACCAGCTGAAATATCTTACGGGTTTAATGATTAATGAAGGAGTTAATTCCTTGACATGTGTTTATTTTATATTGGCATGACAATCATGATTTTGTCCTTAAAGATTATCTTTTTTTTTTTTTTTTTGAGGGGGGACGCCAGGAGAGGGAGAGAGAGAGAGAGAGAATCTTAGGCAGGCTCCAGCTTCGTATGAGCCCAACATGAGGCTCAATCTCAGGACCCTGAGATCACAACATGAGCCGAAATCAAGAGTCAGACTCTTGACTGACTAAGCCACCCAGGTGTCCCAGGATTATCTTTTAACAGAATGTATTTTGTATATATGCATCAGTAGAATCAAAAGCAATGCCGGTATTATTTCCTTGCCATGGTTTCTGCTTTATAACTCAGGGATCTACAACATCAGCATACAAAGCGCTGATCACTCTGGACTTGCCCTATATCTCACCTTTTGAGATGGATGGTTGAGAGGGTCTTTCTCTTAATTCTTTCTCCAGTCTACTACTACATCATGTCTCATTTCACCCCTGAAACGTTTTTCTTTTTCTGCAAAATTAAGATTCTCTGCTTATTGATACTTTAGAAACAAGGTGTTACGAGAAGGGGAATATAAAATTGGAGCTTAATTGAGAATTTTAGAATTGAATTTGGGCAGTACTTCACACGCCTAATTGTATGACAGATTATTATGTGTTCTGTGGATTTCTCAGGATACTAGTTTCTTCTGCCAGCCTCAGGCTCTTCATTAGCCATTTATAGTTTTATTCTCCTCTGATGAGGCAGGGGATACTTAGGAGATATGTCTTTCTCTGGGTGTGAAGTAATGTCAAAGTACTTTTGGTGGAACAGAAAGTTGAAATTATTGCTCAAACTGTAATTTTGAGAGTCACGAAATATCAGGGAAAAAAGATCTTCGACATAAACCCTCCAAATGCTTTATTTAAACACAAGTAGAAACTGAGTTCCAGAGAAATTAAATGACTTGGCCCCAGCTGACTGGTGACCTTGCTTGAAATAGGACTGCACCCTCATTTCCAGTTCAGTTCTCTTTCCATGACACACAGCAGTTCAATGACCTTGCCCTTCAAGAACTCCAATTAGCACAATAGTTAAGAAATAACTATAGTACGCATTATTTTCCTGAACTTCTCTCATCTTATGAAATCATGCAATTTATAAAAGCTTATTGTTTTACGAATTTGAAGGAAAAATCAAGGGCAAGGTCAATGGTAGCAAATTTGCACTTAAATTACAACTTGCAAAAATAAATTTTAAGGTAATACGAAATTTTCACTGTTGTTCTCACTAACTGGTCTACGTCATATAATGGCCACACATCCCACCTTCCTCCATTTATGAAAGCCCTCGGGTTTTTCTCTTAGCTTTCTGAAGTTAGGCGAGGCTGGCTAATTGATGCTGAAAACATCTTTGCCTACTTAATTCAATAGTTAATGATTAAGAAAACAGTCCATTATTAAGAGCCCTGCATTTACTATCTCTCATTTGCATTCAAATTATTTTTTAAGTTGAAAAGGAAGTTTGAGGGGGAAAAGTGAATAAAAGCCTGGCCTCATTTTTAGAAAACCTTAAGCCTAGAGGCTCCCTTGGACTTTTAGGCATGATAAAGAGAAACAGGTACTGCCTAATGCAGCCATCTGGACCCAAATGGTCCCAGTTGGGGGAAGAAGCATGTATAATTAGAAACAGTCCATGCAGAATAGTGTAACCTAATCAGCAGCAAGGACCTGAAAGATAAGTGCCTCTCTCATATCTCGGTCTGGACCTTTAGGTGGCCCCATTCCCACTCCCTGGTTTGTGTACAGAATTGCTAACCACACAAGGTAATCTACGTGCTTCCCAGTTTCCCATCTAACGGTGTGTGAAGACAGGAAGTACTCGCTTCTGTTAAGATATCTCTCCTGGTCATCACTCACTGAATGACCTGAGTAATCTGCAACCCCTTGGGGGTGGTGTTGGGTGAAAATCTGTTTAATATATCCACTGAACTCAGTAGTAAAGCCCTTGCCTCCTGATATTTAACCCCGCAGGAGAAATGGGTGGTTAGTTAGATAATGTCTGTGCCTATGCGTGAAACAACTCAGACTGCACTAAGTTGCTAAGGAAGAGGCAGGTGATGGGCGACTTAAATTAAAGGTAACTCAAACACATTTATGTCATTCACCACACACTCAGCCCAGAGTGGGAGGAACCACTCATTTGTGTCCTTGTTGCAGACTCATGCAAAGGAGATGCCTGGTGTCATTCAGGAGTGAGCCTCACACTGGGAAGCCATGCTGTTCGCGGGGGCAGGGCTGTGCCCCAAGCCATAGGCGGATGCCCGTATCCTGCCGCAGACATATGGTGCCCCATCATTAGCCAGATGGCAGAAATGTTGGAAAAGACCTGAACACACATGAATTATCTCACCTGGGCTGTGGGAGGCTGTTAGGAGAGGCCGGGCAGGGATCAAATCTGGTGTGTGGCTGTGGAAGGCTGAACAGGAATTTAAAATGTTACAGATGGGGGTCCATGGTCAGCATGGATGAATCTTTGTCATCAGCATCACCTCAACTACCCGCCACATCTACTTACGTGTTGGAAGACAGTTCCAATGTCACATGCTTCCCCCTGTGCCCAAAGGAAATATCAGGGGTTCAGAAGAAGAAGAACTTGCTGTACCTAAAAAATAGAATATTTTCTGAGATAGTCTTATGGCTCAAACTACTTCTCTTGATATATTTCTTTTTAATCGGAAGGTTTGTTTAGAGTCAGAGTTGATTAGATGTTGCTTGACCAGCCTTAGAAGGTTCAGAGTATCTCTAGTACCTTTGAATTGTACAGAAAGTGGTGATGTAGGATTTCATGCTCATTTTTCCAGGAAGAGGGTATATCTCTTCCTGGGGGGTGCCTGGGTGGCTCAGTCAGTTAAGCATCTGCCTTCAGCTCAGGTCATGATCCCAGGGTCTTGGTATCAAGTCCCACATGGGGCTCCCTGCTCAGCGGGGAGCCTGCTTCTCCCTCTCCCTCTTCCACTCTCCCTGCTTGTGCTCCCTCGCCCTCTTTCTCTCTCTCTCAAATAAATAAATAAAATCTTAAAAAAAAAAAACAACCAAAACCTTAAAGGATCTGCAATGTCCAAAATGTTTTGTAGCCACTGGTATAGGCCCAGGGGAACCCAGCCTTTCTAATCATGGCAGGAAAGTATCCTGAAGTGTCATTACATGGAGTGGACGTCTGATAACTTATGACCTTGAATTTTGCCTGGCTCTTGGGTACTTACATCGCCCCTCAGCTGACCGAGGGCACACTGCCTGTCATGTTCCAGAGACAAGTAGCTAGACCACCTCAGGTCTCTCGGACCAGCTCCCACCAAAGCCCTTACCCAGCATCAGCCCGGTGAGCTAGCACCCTAGATGATTCGCCTTTCATAAAGTCATACTCAGGCAGAAAGCAAATGAACCACATTGATGGAAGGACAAGAGCACATGTCCAAGCATGGCAGTGGTATCGTCTCATGAGGGACAAGGAGAACACAGTGGATAGGAAATGACCTGAGTCCTAGTCCACGTTCTGCACTGGCCGGCAACATAACATTGAGTAATTCACCTTCATGCCTTTATTTCAGTTTCCCAATCTGCAGAATGGGGAAGCTGGACTGCATTCCTAAGGCCTCCCTCGCTGAGGACATGACAGACTATATACAAACTCCCTGGCGTGGCTCTGTCTACAGAGAGGTTATGGGAGAGAAGTGGTCTGTTATTAGGAGCTAGTTCATTTTTCTTTTTTCTTTTTTTAAAAAAGATTTTATTTATTTGAGAGGGAGAAAATGAGAGGGGGAGAGAGAGAGCATGAGGGGGGGAGGGTCAGAGGGAGAAGCAGACTCCCCGCTGAGCAGGGAGCCCAATGTGGGACTCGATCCCAGGACTCCGGGATCATGACCTGAGCCAAAGGCAGTCGCCCAACCAACTGAGCCACCCAGGCGCCCAGGAGCTAGTTCATTTTTCTATCTTAAACACCAAGCCATATGTTTTAAGACATGTTGGATTTTGCAATCCATAGAAGGATTAGAAGCAAATAGACACATCCAAGGGGAAAACCATCACTTGTGGGTAGTATCGAGATGTCAGTGATAGGTTAATGTGCTAGTTAAGGCTGAAAGCACAAGACCACATATTTCTGATTATACTGGGGTGCCTGCTCTATGATTTCTGATTTGGAAATATTGTTCATAAATCTCTTTTCCTACCTCCAACCTCCAGTTCTGCTCTTAGCAGATAATATATATTTAGATTTTTTACTCTTGGCATCCAATCCCTAAGGGGCCTAAATTGCCAGTTTGGCGTATTAGTGTTCTCACTTAGGTCTTCTAACTTTTTCACTCCAGTCTCCGGAGGAGGCATCTGAGTCCTTCCATCCAACCTAAACCCCATCCTTTTTGTCTCCTCCCCTTTCCTGTCTATCCCACAGCCAGCAGTCTCTGCCACCCTCACGTCCACTTCCTCCTGCTGGGTGCTCCTGTCTTACCTTCCTCTCAGGCTTTGTCCTCGTCCCTCAAATCTTCTCAGATCTTCCCTACATTAAACATTAAATCAGTTTTCTATGCTCCATTTGCCTTTTTAGTCATCTTTCAATTTTTTTCCTCCCCCCAGTTCCCAAATCCTTGGAGTAAGTAGTTTACATCTGCTGTTTGTACTTCTTTTGCCTTCTTACCTCTGTAGTCTGGACATTTCTAAGCTGCCCTGGAGGTGCTTTCTTGAAGACAGCTTTCCATGTTCCCCTTCTCCTTGTCTCTGGCATTTGATATAACTGTGGGGTAGAGACAGTGCTTCCCGCCACCGACCACCAGTACCCAGTGTTGACGGTGGCTCCGAAGCGGCTGGGCAGACCTCTGTGGACACTGACGCTCTGTCCCCTCTTCCTTCCCAGCACTTCTCATTCGCCCATTCTCCCACATGCCCTGTGCCTCATCGTCCCTTCTGATCAATCCTATGGCGTCTTTTATCACTTCCATCATCCTCAGGACTCGCCGGCTCTTCCCCAGTGACTGGTGATCCAAACTCAATCTCCTCAGTCGGTACTTTAAAAATGTAATTATTCATTGCTTAAAAAGAGTCATAGAGGCACTAACAAAACACGTAAACAGAACAAAAATGTATCTGGAGAAAGAGAAGTCTCTCTCCCAGTCCACTCTCCCAGTTTTCTTTCCCAGAAACAATCACTATTAGCAGTTTCTTATACATCCTGGCAGAGAGATTCCACTTCCATACAAGTGCTTCCTGATCGGGCTACAGCTCAGCACCATGCTGGGGTCCCTGTCTGGACATTTCTGTTTACCTTCTGGACATTTCTCCAAGAATTGGGCTCTACCACACACACTTCCCATCACCAATTTGCGATTTGCTTCACCCCACATGAATCTGAGATGATCCTTGCTCTTACTAGATTGTCTGGGGCTCCCAGGGGCCTGCCCTGTGGCTACTGTGAGGGGCTCCAGGAGTCCTTCCTGGTCAGTCCTCCAGCCCCAACCCCACTAATTTTGACTTTGCTGTTTCTGCCAACCAGAAATTGAAGAAAGTTCTAACTTGTTTTGCGTCTGAACCATGGTTGATTCATGCTACCTGTTGACCTGATTTGCCAGGAAATAAGAATGAAATGACCATGTACCTTTGCTTCTGAGCTGTTGCTTCATTGCCTGGCTTTATTCCTAAGCCCATACATGACCCTTCTTTTTTTTAATTAATTAATTTAGATAGCACCAGCAGAGGGAAGGGCAGAAGCAGAGGGAGAGAGAGAGAATGCTAAGCCAACTCTGTGCTGAGCATGGAGGCTGACATGGGGCTCAGTCTCATGACCCATGAGATCATGACCTGAGCGGAAATCAGGAGTTGGATGTTTCACCGACGGAGCCACCGAGGGGCCCCGACCCCTCTTCTAATGATGCCTTGGAATGATTCGAGAAAGAACTTGAGGTTCTCCACATCTACACTTTAAATCCTGGGTACATGAACAGTGATAACATCTGGGTGCAGAAAACTTAATGCCATTGTGGCCAGAGAGTTTCCTGCTAAATCTGGGGAGAACGGCCCCTCTGGGAGGCATGCTCTAGTTCTGCATCTGACTAAGCAGTAATGACAGACTTGCATTTGGAAAATATCCCTGTAATGACATCAGGAGTCTTAAAAACTGCCTTTGGGGGACATATAAATTACTGTTGTAGTTAGATGCACAGTACCTTAAGTCCAAATAGGAAGACTTTTTTGTTCTTTTATAATCCACCTAATGAATAGCAGGCCTGGAACGGCATTTGCTGAAGAGACGCTATAGTAGTGACTCTTGGCATCATTTTAAATATTGACTTGGAGGTAAATTTTGATATGTTCAACTGTGATTTATTATAGATAATGTCAGGAGAGAGATTACCTCAACCTAGGGTTTCTCAATGTGAGATTACCCTAGTCCAGGGTTTCTGGAATATATATGAGAAAAGCTGGAGGTAAGCCACTTCTCTTTCATGCATATTCACAAAGCACATTGGCCTACTGAAGACTCTAAGAAGTCCCAGAGTGAAATAACTTCTAAACTTTTTTATTAACCTGAACTTATTTGACAATAAAACCCTTTATGCACATGCCTATTAACAGCCTAGAGAACTATGGTTCAGAGGACACATACTGGATAATAATGTCGCTTCAGTTTATCCACGTAAGTTAAGCAATTTATTTATAAATAAATAATTGGTTCCCCTAAATATTTCATGTATTCGTTATACAGTAGTCTCCCCACTTATCATAGGGGATACATTCCAACAGCCCCAGTGAATCCCTGAAATCACAGATGGTATCAAACCATATATATGCTGTTTTTTTCCTATACATACATACCTATGCTAAAGTTTAATATAGAAATGGGGCATGGTAAGAGATTAGCAAGAATAAAAAAATAAAACAATTATAACAATATTCTGTGGATATGAGATGACAAAATGCCTATATGATGACATGAAGTGAGGGGAATGTCATAGACATTGTGACATAGGGGTAGGTAGGCTGTTATTGACCTTCTGATAATATGCTAGGGGGATCATCTGCTTCTACACTACAGTTGACCACAGGTAATCAAGACCACAGAAGACAGAGCCACAGATAAGGGGAGACTACTGTATTACAAGCCAATAGCGTAATATGCCATTATATTGTAAACCAATAACACACAATATAAAAAATAGATGAAATATTTAGGGGGACCAATCATAGTAAAGTTGTTATCTAATATCATCTATAATTCAATATTTATATTCAATCTTTAAAAAGCCAGTTACTCAAAAATACATTTTTAAAAAGATTTTATTTATTTATTTGAGATAGAGTGAGAGTGAGAGAGAGAGAGAGTGAGAGCACGAGTGGGGGAGGGGGAGTGGCAGAGGGAGAGGGAGAAGCCTACTCTCCACTGAATAGGAAACCCAACTCGGGGTTAGATCCCAGGACCCAGGATCATGACCTGAGCCAAAGGCAGATGCTTAACCGACTGAGCCATCCAGGCGCCCCCCAAATACATTTCTTTATAAGTTAAAGTTCTGTTAGCTGGTGCCCTTTAGTCCTTATTGTCCAGTGGCTTTTCCCCCAGTAACCTCTTAAGAAACTTCTGACAGGAACCCGAGGCTCAGCTATTGGTCTCTGACATTTTCTCCCTACAACTTAGTCAAAGAGGTATCAACCTAATCAAGCCAAAAAGCTCTTTGTCACAATCATCTTTACACGCTGGGTGGTCCAAGCTGTCTCTCCCTCACAGGTTCTTTCAAAATGCTATTAGGGATGCCCAGGTGGCACAGTTAGTTAAGTGTCCTACTCTTGGTTTCAGCTCAGGTAGTGATCTCAGGATTATGAGATCAAGTCCCACATAGGGCTCCATGCTGACCATGGCATCTGCTTGAGATTCTTTCTCCCTCTCCCTCTGCCCTTTTCACTCATGGCTCGCTCACGTGCTCTCTCACTCTCTCTCTCTCAAATAAATAAATCTTCTAAAAAATGCTATTAATCTCTCAGAAGTTCTAGGTCAGAGTGTTGTCTTCCTGCCACACGTTGGGCTCTCGGGGAAAAAAGGCCTGAGCCCTGCCCCTGATGTACTTAAATACAAATGAATACAACACATTCTGATCACTTCCAGATAAATATCTACTTATAAATATTTACTGATATAGTGCAAAGAGAATACTTAAGTCTGAGAGCATGTGGAGGGAATAATCAAAAAGGTTGGTGTTATGCAGGGAATATTCTTACTCCTTTTTTAAGAAAGAGGAAACTGAAGCAGGGAGGTTGGAGAATATCAAGGTAAGAAGATGGGAATAAGCCCCGACTCTGGCTGCCTTTGGGGTGAAATACCTGCTGTTACTTGACTCTGGTCTCGGTGTGCTTGCTTCAATTTTCAGGAGAGTCTGATGGGTGAACTCCCCTGCTTGGGGCTGACTAGATCTTGTGTCAGCCCCTCTTATCGAGTTAGCTATGGCTGGAAGGGGCAGTCAGGACCGTGAAGGTCAAACCTGGGTGACCATGCCTACCTCTTCAGCAAATGCTTCAAGTTCCCACCAAAAGAGAATTCTTCATGGCTTTCTGAGAAGGTGGTATAGGCCAAATAGACCTGCTCAAATTTTTTTTTTTTTTTAAGATTTTATATATTCCTTTGAGAGGGAGAGCATGAGTGGGAGAGGAGCAGAGAGAGAGGGAGAAGCAGACTCCTGCTGAGCAGGGAGCCCCATGCAGGGCTCTATCCCGGGACTCTGGGACCATGACCCAAGCCCAAGGCAGACGCTCAACCAACTGAGCCACCCAGGCGCCCCTAGCCCTGCTCAAATCTATCTGCCATTCTTAATAAGTTTGATTCTCATAAGCTTGTCCACAGCTCTATTTTCCAGGCAAGAATAAAATGGGTCTTAAATATGGAAAAGTCTGGTATCTTTTCTGAGCACAAGAGGAATTAAAAAAAAAAAATGGGTTCTAAATTTTTTTGTTTGTTGATGAAACGGATCACTTTTCTCCTAATAGCCAATATTTTAATCTGAGACTGTTTCTATTTCCTCCATTTTCTCAATCATTTGAATTCTGTTAACTTTGTAAGATGATTGGAGGGTAATAAAGACAAAACATGAAAAAAATCGGCTGACATTATCCAAATAGTTTGTAAAAGATTATTTGTAGACCATCCAAAAATGAGGTTATATAGGAAAACAAGGGGGAATAAAGACTAAAATATGGTAAATTGAATGTATTAATTAGAACTCTTGGTTACACTACCAGAAAACCAAATAAAATTGACTTAGGTGAATAGTAGAATGTATTACAAATGTACTGGATATCTCCTAGAAACCAAAGATGCAAATCAGGAACAGTCAGAATCTAGAGTTTGAACATATTCACGACCTTCCGATCCTCTGGCCGTTCTGTCATTTGGTCAGAAGTCCACTTCTAGACTAACTGAGGTGACCAGCTGTGTCGAAGAACTGTAAGTATGGAGTGGGGAGAGTGAATGGAAAGATGGTACTGTTTTCACAAGAAGTAAAAAGAGTGACAAAACAGAGATGCCCATCTTTTTGAAAAAATAGAGAAGCAAGACAGCAAGAGAAAATAGTTTGTCAAGTTCTTAAGTATTTAGAAATAATTAAGGTCCGTTTTAAGGGTCAAGTACTCTCCTCCATTTTAAGGAAAAAAATCCTTCATTCAGGGACATAATTTGAAAGACATACCAACAAATGGCAAGCTTTCTATTGTGCAATAGACAGGTTTATTGTGCTCTTGGCCTATTGTGCAATGCTTAATTACCAATATTTATTGTGCGCTCCTTATACACAAAGTACTCTTTTAGATATGGGGTGGGAGTTACAAAGATGAATGGGTCCCGCCCCCAAAGAGTTTACACTTTGTAGTCTGTAGAAGGAAAAGCAAACTATAATGACTATGTCATTCTAACATAAAGACTGATCACTTGTTAAAAAGCAAATCCTGAACTATTCCATCATTTCCTCTAAAAAAGAATTTGTGGTCTTTTTTTTTTTTTTTAAAAAATGATGCTCTATATGATGCATCACCACAATCTGTGGTCTGAACTAAATTTGCAATCTAAGTGTCCTCAACCATACCTTGCATACTGATCACACAGACTTACCACCTGGTTTTAGCTGAAGACACTGAGTGAAAATGTTTCCTGTTTCTGTTTCTCACTCACCTTTCAGGGGAAGACCAGTGAAGAAAGGGGAAAGTAGGTTAGTTTTTATAAGTGATGTAAGTGTGCTTTTATTTATTATTGTTATTATTTTCAAGTCTGGTTTTTAAAAGTCTGGGAAGTTGAGGGGATTAAGAGTTTGGTGAGAGAGGAGGTTTGGGAGGAGATACCAGCAGGTGGCGCTTGTGTCCCCCTACGAGATTAGAATATTTTACGCATCCTAGAATCCTGTAGGAATTAAGGGCGACTGTGCATGCACTCAACGCAAGTGACATAGATCATGTCGTACTCTAGTGCCGAGTACACGAAGTCACCGGTTCCAGCCTGTTGCCCAGGCCATCATCTTTCTGCACTACCATTTGAAAGACTGGCTCACCTACCAGCAGGGTTGTAGTATTTTCTACAAGCATCCTCATCTCTCCTAGCCAAGTCGCTCATAGCGACCGTCAAGATGGTTATCTCGCAGAGATGAAGGCCCAAGAGAGCTGGAGCTACCACTTCAGAAGGGAGTGGGGTTTTATCAGTCTTCAGCTGGTCTGCCCTATGCTGTCAGATGTTCTGTCGCCACGTCTGGGCAGAACGTGAATTTGCTTACACGTCAGTCCCCATGTCCTTTGGGGGCAAGAAGAAGCGGCACGAGGACACTTTGACGGTACCTGTGCGCGGGCTCAAAATGTGCTGTTACTGGCTAGTTGAGGTCACTGGTTTTCTTACCTCTCTCTGCACCACTCAACTTCGGGGCTCAGTCAGCCATAGCCAGCCTCTGTCCCTCATGTGCCAGTGGATTCTGTCCACCATCAAAACTACCCTCATTTTGAAAGTCCTTCCTTTCTGTGTTTGTAGTTTCCCCCCATCGCTCAGAATACCTTCTGCCCTACTCCTATTTGTCTCTTCGCCCTGGGGTCCAGCCAGGGACTACACAGGAAGAAGGGCAGCCCTACAGTCTGAGGGCTACAAGTTCGCATCCCCTCCGCCACGGACTGCACCGGTGACCTTAGACAAGTTGTTTTTTTTTTTACTTCCTCTGTAGTCTGGGGAAACAGTTTTTCCGCTCATGGGATCCCTGGATTAATGAGATAATTAATGTAGACTACTCAGACCACCACTGGTTCATTGTAGGCGCCCAAATGCCACGGGTCTGACCCCTCGGTGAGAAACTGCCTCTTGGGGAGCTGTGGGTCAGAGAGCAGAATTGAGATAACCTCTCACCTCCTCATGATCTCACTGTATTTCAAACCCCATCTATTGCCTCGCTGGCGTCTTCTCAGACCCTCTAAAACCTCTTGTCCCCCCAAATACCCTGGGCAGCAGAAAGAAACCCAGGGGCGTTGGGCGTCTAAACGAAGGTCACCCCGGAAACGGGGTCCGGCCCCCTGACGTACCCCCGACTGCCAGGCGGAGCGTAGCGAAACCGCTGGGGACCCGCCCGGCTCCGGGCGGAGGAAGGCTCAGGGCTGGACTGACAGCTTGGGTAGGAGGTGGAGAGAGCAGGCGGCGCGGCGGAGGAGGGGAGAGCCGCCGAGAGGAGGGAGCAAGGGCGGGAGCAGACACATGCGCGCTGCCTGCCGCCGCCGCCGCCGCCGCCGCAGTCCTTAGCTTCCCGGGGACAGGAAACCTTCGAGACCGAGCTGCCACTGCCGCCTCCCCGACTGCCCCCCATTCCGCGCGCCTGCCACACCCTCCTCCCCTTCTTCCAGTATCTTCCGGTGGGGCACTGCAGGGACTCGGCCCGCGCTGCAGTCTCCCCCTCCCGGGGGAAAGCTGTGACCCCCCCCGCAGGAGCGGCGGGGCGGGGTGGGGGGGCCTGGGAGAAGATGGCGACGCCGGGAAGCGAACCCCAGCCTTTCGTCCCTGCCCTCTCGGTGGCTACTCTGCACCCCCATCACCATCCCCACCACCACCACCACCACCATCAGCACCACGGAGGAACCGGAGCCGGCAGCGGGGTCGGGGGAGGCGGCGGCGGCGGCGGCGGCGGCGGCGGCAGCGGGGGCTTCAACCTGCCCTTGAACCGGGGGCTGGAGCGCGCGCTGGAGGAAGCGGCCAATTCCGGGGGGTTGAACCTCAGCGCCAGGAAATTGAAGGAATTTCCCAGGACCGCGGCCCCGGGGCACGACCTCTCGGACACGGTGCAGGCAGGTGAGAAAGGGCCGAGGGGCAGCCAGTGGGCGTGGGTGACTGGCTGTCGCGCCTTCCCCTCGCCGCGGCCCGTCAGATCTGGCCTCGCTGGGGGTCCTCTGGCCGGTGCTCTCCAGAGTAGGGAACACGCGTGGGCGCGGGAGAGGCGGGCCCGAGGAGGGCAAGGTGGCCCCCGCCTGGCCGGAGAACTGGGGTGCGCCCGGCTGCGGCGTCCGCGAGCTCGCGGGTCTCCGGCTCCCCACCCTGCGGCGGCCGCGCCAGGGAAGTGGCGGCCGGGCCGGGAGTCGCGGGCGCGCTGTGGAAGTGGGAGGTTTGGGGCGGCCGCGTCGGCTTCCCCGGCGCCGCGCAGAGGCCGGGGAAGCCGAGCGCCCGGCCGGTGCTTCCGACCAAGGCAAGCCCGGTTCGCGCCAGGCGTCGCCCGTCCGGACGGGGAAACCGAGACAAAGGTGGCGCGCCCGGGGTCGACCCGAGGGCAGCGGCGCATCGCCGGGCGGTCGGGCAACTTGGTGCCGACTGCGAGGAGGTGCCAGGCTTCCTCTTCCTGCGCCTGTGCGAGGGAAGAGTCGCTGGTGGTGTCGCCGATCCGAATGGGCAGCCGCTTCGCCGGCGGTCGGCGCGGCTCCCGCGTTCCTTGCCTTTCGCTGACCGCCCACGCGGTTCGGTCCTGCCGCCGAGGCTCGCCGGTTCTCAGTAACCCGATCTTTGCGGGGGCCCAGCAGGGGACGGCATGGCATATTGAAAGAAAAGTAGTTAAAGTGAGCCGGTTTTCCTGTGTGAACCCGACAAGTTGTAACTCGCGCCAATGAGCAGCCAGCTCTTTCAAGTTATGTCATGTATTGACATATTTCTGAGACGTCTGCTTTCTCTTTGGTAGTTGGAGTTCCTGGAGCGGGATCTATAAACAGGAAGGAGGGTGGTGGAACTCGATTCGGGCCTTGGGATCCCTTAGAACTGCCTTGGTTTCCGACCATCCGGTTCAGCTCCCTGAGGGGCAGGGTTTGTATCTTGGCAAGCGCCCAACATTTCCCAGCGCAGTGGGTGCCCCATTTTGGAACCACTGCCCAGACCTCCTGGCTGTCATCACCTCATGGGCTGAGTGTCAGACCCCTTGGATACCGGATGGCTCAACTCTCAGCTCCAGATCTCCCAGTTTCCTCTCCTGGGGGAAGAAAGGGGGTTGGGCCAGGGAGCAAGGCTTTTGGAGCTAGGTTTCCAGTGCTTTTTGTTTTCGACTTCAATTCAGTAAACATCTTTGAGCGTCTTAATGAATATTTAGAAAGAATTCCAAGTTCGCTGGAGGCAAAAAAGGGCTCTTTAGGGTCATTAAACTTTGTGACTTGCATTAGGGATAGTCAGGAATGAGCGAAAGGGAGGGAATTTCCAGAGTTGAGCTCTCAGCAGCTGGGGAGTCTCTCGATAGGACCTCTTAGTTACATTTTCTCAAGTGGAAGTTATTCCAAGAATTGCCTGAATCATTAATTTAAAAAAAAAAAATCTGTTGTTAAGTTCTACCTCCCTTTTGCCTTAGAGTATACCAGGGACTGTGGAAGGATTGGATATGACTGGGGAAAACAGAGCTGGCATGACCAATGATAGGTGTTTGTATGGTCAGTAGGGGGGTTTGAAAGTTGTTGGTCACTTCAGTTATGCAGACGTTTATTCCCAAATTTGAGTGAACTTGATGTGTCTGCTGTGTTGGCATGTCTTTGAGACCTGTGCTTTTAAAAGCAGGGGCCACCTTTTTCAGTTAAGACCTTGCCATGTGAGGTAAATGCTCCACGATATTCCTGTTCTCCTCTCTTGCTTGCTTGTGGTGAACTTAGGCTGTGAGTGTTGCCAGTTTTTAATTATGACCCTTCCTTGCACATGTTTAATGTTCAGAGAATTCTAACTAGTTAAAACTCAGAATCTTAATATGAATTTCCCAACCAAAAAATGCAATTTTAGTTATGGGATAGGGAATGTCACCAACGTTTGTAGAAATGTAGGACAACCTGGAAAAGATAAAGTGTGTTCAACGTAGCCAGCTATTTCTCGTGAAATGTGAGTACCCCGATGTATTCAAGGGTTGCTTCTGCAAAACATCTTTGCCTCAGGTCAAAAGCTGGCTGTAAACCAAATGTATTCTGTCCTTTGTTCTAAAGAAATATTTACTGATCACTGTTCTTTATTTGGAGAAGCAAAAATCAAAATAAAGCAAGAGTTAAATCACCCCCAGTTTGCACAGTGTTGACATTTACTGCATATGAAGTTCCAGCAAAGTGGAGAGTATGAGGAGTAAGACATACAATAAAGATAGTGGTTTCTCCTGGTTAATATTTAGTTTACAGAAAAGCTCTTAAACTCAGAATGGCACATGAAGATTCTTAAAGACCTAAGATGTAAAGTGTACTTTTTCATAAATTTTGTAAAATGAGGAGTGACATAGAAAGCTTTTTCTCACTGCTCAGTTGTGTAACACAGGCCATTTGGTTTATTCCCTAGCAGCCAGCTATGCAGACCTGCACTCTTGGGCAGTGTAACCTATCTGAACAGAGTGGAAAACTGGGATGTAAGTGCAGAAACATAGAGGCCGGGGGCCGCTCAGTAGATGCCTAAGCTCTGTCACTGAAGTGCATACATATTTTTCACAGGGAAAAAAAACCTCACAAGCCCTCACTCAGAGTGCCTCAAATAGGCTCAAAGCCTATTGATTTGCTCATATTTGAGTCGAAATAATGTTGTTGTCAGGGCCCAGTCTTTTTTCAGGTGAGAAGGTTCGGAAAGAAAGGCGGACTTATGCTGGGAGAAGCATGAACAAAAGAACCACGATTAGCTCTTGGTCTGTGCACTTTGCAGTGTGCCAAGTACTTCATCTGCATTATCCTGCTCAGTCCTCACTGGAAGCCTATTCATATCCTCACTTACAGTTGGGGAGATTGCAATTGAGAGAAGTCAGGTAATATGCTCAAGATCATACCCCTACTTAGATGGTGAGCCAGTGACTGGACCCTGACAGTTTCACTTTGGCTTTTATGTTCTTGACCATTTTCCTGTGAAGCAGAGAAGAGGTGGAGAGGAGCGGAATCTGGGAGGCTGTTTGGAGGTTCATTCGGCCAACATTCATTCCACGAGAACCTGCCAAGCCCCGCTAAGTGTCAGGCACTCTTTTAGGCACCAGGGACCATCAGAGAATCCCTGTATCCCTTCATATGGAGTGTGCATTCTGTTTGGAGGGGGATGGGGAGAGAAAGGAGGAAATTGATTTTGCAGAATGAGTTGGAATATTTACAGTACAAATATAATGCCTTGTTTTAGAAAGACACATGCAGCCTTGATTTAAGGTGACTTGAAGTAGCTTGTAACAACAAGAGCACAAAGGATGACTAGTAAGAAATAGAAACTGAAGCTTAAAATTGGGCCTGATAGGGGCGCCTGGGTAGCTCAGTTGGTTAAGCGACTGCCTTCGGCTCAGGTCATGATCCTGGAGTCCCGGGATGGAGTCCCGCATCGGGCTCCCTGCTTGGCAGGGAGTCTGCTTCTCCCTCTGACCCTCCCCCTCTCATGCTCTCTCTCTCTCTCTCATTCTCACTCTCAAATAAATAAATAAAATCTTAAAAAAAAAAATTGGGCCTGATAAAAAGAAGTACACACGTGCATCAGGAAAGCAAACTTTTTTTTTTCTAGTGCTGATTTATTAAGTGTGTCATTTTGGGATGAAGAAGTTCAAGATGGTGTGGAATGTGACTGAGAAAAAGCAAATCGAAAAGAGGAGTAAGAAAAGAAAGTGTCTGTCTCAGATTGATTGCAGGAGGTGCTAGAAAATAAAAAGGAAGCCCTTGGACTTGATTCGCAGACAGTTGGTGAGAATTGGTCCAATTAAGGAGAGGGTGGAAGGGCGCCTGAGTGGCTCAGTCGTTAAGCGTCTGCCTTTGGCTCAGGTCATGATCCCGGGATCGAGTCCCACATCGGGCTCCCTGCTCAGCAGGAAACCTGCTTCTCCCTCTCCTCCTCCCCCTGCTTGTTCTCTCTCTCTCTCTCTCTTTCTCTCAAATAAATAAACAAAATCTTTAAAAAAAAAAAAAAACAGGAGAGGGTGGAGTGTATCATGGCAGTATCTTTTTTTTTTTTTAAAGATTTTATTTATTTATTTGAGAGAGAGAAAATGAGAGACAGAGAACATGAGAGCAGAGAGAGAGCAGAGAGAGAAGCAGATTCCCCGCTGAGCAGGGAGCCCGATGTGGGACTCGATCCCGGGACTCCAGGATCATGACCTGAGCCGAAGGCAGTCGCTTAACCAACTGAGCCACCCAGGCGCCCCATGGCAGTATCTTTTTGAGGTGGTTGGAAGCAGGAAAGACTGTATGGGAAATGAAGAGCCTACCCAAGCAGGAATATAGAAGTCTGGCATAAAAAAATGCTCACTGTGGTCCCGTATGTGCCTGTGTGGAATGTATAGGAGAATGCAAGGTGAAGATAAGATAGGAATGCATGAGAAGGTAAGTAATAGTTCAGGAAGTCCCAGGAGCCTCAGAGCAGGTCAAGGTGAGATGCTGAATCGCAGAGATAGACATTGTCTGTGAAATTCAGAAGAAATGGTCTTTTCAGTTAAGCTGGTTAGGAACGACTTTCATAGCATAGGCATGGTTTGGGTCAGATTTTATAGGATGGATTAGTTTTAGATAGAAGTGCCCGTGGACATTCGGTGGTCAGAAAGATATTTCTGAGATGTGGAGTGAGAACCTGACGGCCTGAGATCTGTGAATAAAACAGAAAGAGAGGCATTTAAGCCTGTGCCTCTGGTCATATCCTCCCTGCCCACTATCACCATGTAATAAGGTCACAGAGAGCAGGGCTCTTAGGACCTTTTATTTGAGGACTCTGGAGTTGGCTGAGGCCTGGGATTTGTCAGCCTGTGGGACTAACACCCTAGTCTTTCTGAGCTACCTCTCTCAAATGTCTATACAGATTCAAAGAATCTTCTTGGAGATTTGTGGGCAGGCTTATATGCTGAATGCTGA